GTCATTAGAAGTTTAAATGCTATGCCCATTTAGTAGAACAATAGTAGTAGGTTCTCTCTTAGGGCCTTAGGATACTGACCTTATTAACAGTGTAATATGTTTGTCCCATCTCATGAACTGAGCCTTAGACCCAGTCAGAAAGTGGATGATCAGTCTCATAACATTCATGCTATTGTTTCCTAATGGGCACATCTTGCCAGACAGGTTATTATTACAGTATGCAAGGTTCATAGCTACTGATGATTACTTTTCTCCTCCCATATTGTGTAAAGTATCCTCTAGCACTTTGAATGTTATCCAATAGGGATGAAACTTCCATATCAGTGGCTACTGGATTTCTTCATGTTTATGACTCAAGTATGTAGTATCTTCAGTAGAGTATTGCTGTCAGGTGCTGTAGGGTAACCAAGAGCAATGGAAATAGCCTGTAATGTTTGTGGGGGTCCTATGGACTCCATTGGCCAGCAATTCTAAAAAAAAGATTCCTATTCCTGTTACTGGGAAGTTTTGATAGTGCATGGTGTCAGTTGGAATTTTGTTTGCCTCCCATTATAGTGTAGTTCCATTTAAACTCTTTTTATATATGTATATATTTTTAAGATGCATCTATTCTGGTAGGTTTCCTCAAAAAAGGCTTTTAGTGTTAGTCTCCCCTCATCCCTGCCTCTATCCTGCCTTCCCACTCCCACCCCTTAATCATTCCTATTTCTTTCCCTTATAATATTATATTCTATTTTCCCTTGCTTGAAAAATTTCTTTATTACTTTCTTAACTTGTATGGGTATTTTAAACAAAAAACCCACATCTAAAGCTTTAAGTTAATGTCTACATATGAGAGAAAGCATGATCTTTGTCTCTTTGAGTCTGTGTTACCTCACTGAGGGAGTTTTATTTATTTATCTGCACATTTTATAATTTTCTCCCCAGCTCCTTTTTGAGACAGGGTTTCTCTGTGTAGCAGCCCTGGCTGTCCTGGAACTCACTTTGTTGACCAGGCTGGCCTTGAACTCTCAGAGACCTGCCTGCCTCTGCCTCCTCCTTTAATCAGGGACTAAAGTCATGAACTACTACCATCCAGTTTAATTGCATTTTCTTTTCTTAACACATAAATAATATTCACACACACACACACACACACACACACACACACACACATATATATATATATATATATATATATATATATATTTGAAATTATCCACCCATCAGCAAACATAAAGGCTCTTTCTATTTCCTGGAAATTGTGAATAGAGAGACAGTGAATTTTGCTGGGTATAATAACCCAGGTTGGCACCAATGATCTGTCTGAGGCTGAAATATGACATTCCAAACAAATCCTTCTCAATTTAAAAGTTTCTGCTGAGAAATCAGGGTTATTCTAATGGGCCTGCCTGTACATGTAACTTTATTTTATCTTCTGCACCTTTTTGACACATTAGCTGTTCTGTTTTGATTCTAATATGGTGTGTGGAGCTTTTTTTTTCTTTTTCTGATCTTATTTGTTTGATAGTCACATGCCTCTTGTACCTGAGTGTAGGTACAGAAGTGCAGACTCTTCTGTTATATTGACAACATTTCTATGCTTTTAGCATGTTATTGTTTTCTTAGCATCTCATAGACCTTCCATATTCCATTTGTATGTTTTCAATAATGTATCTTTGTTCTTGACAAAGTAAGTTCCAGGATGGCCAGAGCTGTTACACAGAGAAGCCCTGTCTTGGGAAAATAAAAACAATACACATTTGTTTTTCATATCATGGTTGAAGCTCTGTCTCTGCTTACCTAGCTGAACATGGATGTTTTGTTTAAGCCAGAGGGGCCATGGCTTTCTCTGTGAACAGATGGCTCCCTAGTTTCCCTATCATAGAAATCTAGAAAGGGTTCCCATGGGCAAGTGGGTGGATGATCTATGAACTCATTCACAACCAGCAACTTTTTTACTCCAGATTCTTAAGCTAATGTGCTGTAGATCAACCAGGAGTGATAGAATCTCATTAACCTCACGCCTGGTCTTAACTATTAAAACCAAGCATGTTGCTAAATAAAAGTATACCCATTTTGCAAAAAAGAAAATAGCAGCCAGGTGACTTCAAATCTTACCATTTTACATCCACTTAGCCAAAGTATTGCTCCCATTTAACTGATATCTAAAGGACCAGCAGGTGTAGGGACAAACACCTTTAATCTCAGTACTCATGAGGTAGAAGCAGAATTTGAAGCCATCCTGATCTACAGTGAGCTGTAAGCCAGCCAAGGATCACTAGATGAGGGGGTTTGAACTCAAGTGCAGTTGCCCCCTGCTGCATGGCTTGGGGAAGTCTATTGTCTGTATTCCATCCCTTCATCTGTGTAATAAAACCCTGAACTAAAACAGCACTCCTCCCTGTCTCTAATGCTGCACACGGAAAACTATGCAAGAGTGGTAAATAAGGTCCAGTATCAGCATTGTTTTTCTTGAGAGAATGGAAATAGTGGAGAAAACCCTGGTGACTCACATAAGGAAATCAGCCGGGGTTGCTGGAGGCTCAGACAAGCTAAGACCTGTCTGCTTTTCACATTGATCTCAAGCCCAGCACCCACCAGTGCTCACACCAGCCACTGAAAGGGAGATTTTGGAGTGAGGAGGAGCCTTGGAGGAAGAGGCTAAGGTCCTGAAGGTTACTGTTTTAGGAGCCCTGTCCTCAGCTGATAGGCTGAGCGGGAAAACAGAAATATGTCCTGCTTGGAAGAAATGAGGACGAAAGGTCTTCAGCACACCAGGTGCCCATGGCAGACACTTGGTCCAGGAATGCAGTCGACTTTGGTTCACGGAGGCTGTACATGTATGCCACCCTCTTTAGTTCTTAGTTTTCTTGTGTGTGTCATTCATGTGATCTAGAAAAGAGAGCAGTGTAAATACGTTGAACTCATCAAATACCTCATTGTCATCTTCACGGGGGGGGGGCGTTAGTGATTTTTCTCACCCAAGCAGGATTCAATTCAGCTTCTCCAGTAAATGTGAGAGGGTATCCAACTTGGAGCTCTGTAAAGCGCAGAGCATCTACTCTAAGACGAGAAACCGATGTTTCTTCAGACAGCGCCATTCTGACAGAAGAAGGGTTTCTCAGAGAGCGCCTTTTTCAGCAGCCCGCTTCATCCCAATCTGCTTATTTGCTTTTTGAAGGTAAGTTAAAATAATGAAACCGGTAAGCTTCAGCTGGGCCACAGAAATTTAGTTTTGGGAAACCCCTTGTTCATTTTACCCTTTTAAAGGGAAGGTTAGATGTCTTGCCTTCCCCCGAGGCTTTTTGGCTAGGGCCCTAGGGTGACTCTGAAGGCGGCAAGAGAATCAAGACTTCGCAGTCTCTCTCACTGGGGAAACGAGGCACTTCCGCCTCCACGTGACGGCTGGAAACCTGCCTGAACTCGCTCCCTTCCTTTAAGTGGTTTCATATGAACAGGAGAGGAAGTTCTAAAGCTTGAAGACACTCGGTTCTCCCTTAGCGGCAACCTAACCCACCAACGGACAAAAACCACCACAGCCCCAGGCTGAGAAGACAGGCAGCTGAGAGCTGCTGCCCCTTAACCACCAGCATGGCATTTAGGCCGAGGCTCAGTTTGGGCTGTAGAGGAGGGGTGGCATGAGATGGATTTCTGTGGGGAGAAAGCCTTGCATCTAGATTTTTGTGGACTATCAGCTTCCCGGCTATTGCATTGACTTGTCCCATAGCGACACACTTGATTTAGCGTGAGTCCCAGTGAGTGAAAAGGAAACCTTGAGCTCGATGGAATCCGTGACGGGCTTGTTCAGCAAAGGAAAAAATGGTGCAAGTGCTCATAAGCATGGGGTTGGGGAAGTTGCTTAACAGTTGCTCACCACCAAGATTAATGTATTTGCCCAACAGCTAAATGAGATTAGCACCTCCTACTTCAGAGTAGGACACCTAAGAGAAATACGCTTGTGAAACAAAGGAACCTCACAAGCTCACACACCTGAGCTGCTGTGGCATGTTGGAGGTCAGCGTGGAGCAGTCGGCCACCAAACGCAAGCGGAACAGTGGCAACAGCCCCTGGGTCTGCCATCTAGTTGGCAGATCAAGTGTCTCTGTCCTGCGCGGACGCGAGGAGGAGCATCACGATTCGCATCCACCGCACTGGGGTGAGCCCGCACTCCAAGCGCGAAGAGGCGGACCAGGCGACCAGGCGCAGGGCTTGGCAGACTCGGGCTGGGTGTTGGGACACTGTGGAAGTCTGCGGACGGCTGGACCGCTCCCTCTTGCCCTCACGCCCTTACTCTCCGCCAGACCGGATCGACTGGTTCCAGCGGCTCACCTAAAGGAATTTGGGTGGCCCTCCCTCTTCACAGAGTACCCAGCCATCCCTGCGCGATAGCATCAGACTGCACAAGCCTCTGGGCAAACGAAAGCCAGCAGAGGAAACCGATACTCGCCCAGGCTCCACCCCCGCGCGGCTTCCCTTTACTAGGCAACCAAGCCTCACCCTCCTCAGGAACCACCAGAGAACCAATAGTAAATGTTAGAATTTCAGTAAAGCGTCTAGAGGCGCTGCCCCACCCCACTGCCTCAATTTATACCCCCTTGCTCCCCCCCCACTTTTTGCCCCTCCTCCCAAACACTCAATAGTAAGCAGGTATACAGTCCACCCCCAACAGGTGACTATCCTCACAAGAAAGAAAGGGACTCAGCCCCATGATGAGTAGCAGAGACCTGCAGCCACCTAGTCATTTATTTCCTGCTCCTCCACCTGGTTTAAGAACTGTAAGGAAGGTTTGTCTATTAATAAGCAGTTTTAGGAACTACCTTCAAACGAACTGCAATCCCAAAGTTTCCCCACCCTCTGCTGAGGACAGAACCCAGGGCCTGCCAGATGCCAGGCAAACACAAGATCCCAGCCCTCGGAAAACACCAGAACATCAATAGTCAATGTTAGAGTTTCACACGGAAGCGTTAGAACTTAAAATGTAAAATCCAAGCATTAGACAAAGGAGAGCAACACAGTGGTTTAAATCTGGAGGGAATTTTCACACAGCCCATCTTCTGGTTTGTGCCTTTCCCATATTTTATTAAACTCGAGTTGTTGCTTTAAAAAACAGCAGCATTATCAAAGACACATCTGTACAAACATTTTACAAAAGAGAACATTGCTAGTATCAGCTCCATCAAGGGCAGGCAGAATAGACGCAGTCCAACGGAGACGTCTAAAATGTACTCAGATATCGGAAACGCCTTTTCCTCCCGTACAAACCACGGCAGATGAAGAACACCGCTCAGGCTCAATTAGTGAACTTTTCAGTAAGGCAGGGAGCAGACGGATATCAACTCGGGACAGTGAAAGCATCGCTTCCCCCTCTCAAACCATTTAAATCTTTAGGTGGATTAAAGTCGCTGGGAAACGACCCAGAGCTGCCTGGAATTCGCTTCTTAATGAACCCACCTAGCCCGCCTTTGCTTAACTCTGGTCAGGCAGGTTTCTACTGACCGGACAAGGAATTTCAGAAATGCTTCCTTCAAGACCGAAGGCGAGGAGGCGGCCTGAACTCAGCATCTAGCGAATTTGTTTGTGGAGAGAGAAGGAAGAGGTCAGAGCTGGGAGGAAAATTACCTCCTGGCCAAGAATCAACAGGCCAACGCATACTGGTCTGGGGTGATGAGGAAGGCCAGGACCTGCCGGGCATCTACAAGCTAGGTTCGCGTCTCATCTCCCCCAGCTCCTTTAGCTCCACCTTTCTGTACTTTCCTGACTTCCTCCTGTTGGTGACCACCAAGACGACCACACCGGCCACTAGCGCCACCACAACCACAGCGATGACAGCGATGAGGCCGGCGGTGAGACGCTTCATGGAGAACTGGGGGGGCTTCTCGTCCAAGTAGTAGATGAGCGTCCGCTCCACGTGCAGGGGCTCCCCACGCACCTGCACATCCAGGCCGCGGCGGCCAGCGAACAGCGACTCGCCTTTGATGTCCCGCTCGAAGTAGTAGGCGGCGTCAGCTATATCCACGTCCCCCAGTACCTTTTGCGAGGCGTTCTGCCGCAGCTCTATCTGGATGGTGGGCTCCTCGTAGTGAATGGCCGACAGAAAATTGGGGCGCAGCTGGTAGCGCTCCTTGAAGAGCCGCCGCAGCTCCGAGTCCAGGTCAGAGTGGTTGAAGGCTCGGTCGGTCTTGCGGTGGCGCAACTCAATGAGGATGTGGTGGGTGCGCACCACTTCGTCGCAGCGCAGGCTCAGGTCTCCCTTGTCCGTGCGGCGCACGCCCACCGAGTTTACGCACCAGCACACCGAGGTCTGGTTGCACTGGCGTGCCTTGAAGTGACCCTTGTCGTCGCATTCTGGGTCGTAGAGGCCGTCGTTGTCCAGGATCGCGTGCTCGCTAGGCTTCACCAGGCTGCGGCCGCTGCTCCTCCGGGTGCTCATGCGAGCCTTGAGCAGCAGGCACTTGGAAGTCAGCGTGGAGCAGTCGACCAACATCTGTGAGCCGATTGCCCGGCACTGGCAGACGCCTCCTGTGCCATCAGAGCTGCAGATGGTCATCTTGTTGGTGGGGCACGTGCAATTGTTCTGTGCCACGCAAAAGCGGGTCACCACCGCCAGTAGCAGCAGCAGTGGTGCTAACTCCGAGCCCCTCGCCATGGTGGGGTGGAGGAGAGCAGTCTTAACTGACCAGGAGCCTGGGTTCTGAACGATCAGGCTAGGTAAAGACACTTCAGGCAAATGCTGTCAGGAAGCTTCCTCAGGCTCTTATACCCTCCTGAACCTGCAGGACTGGTTAGCCAGTGACTCACCCAATGGAATCTGGGTGGTACTCTCCATTCCCAGGTCCCACGGAGGAAGCCTCCCGAGATAGGATCTGGCAGGGGAGGCTGCTCCTGCCATCTGCTGACCAAAAGCACATAGAGGAAACCGGTATTTACCTGGCCCCACCTGGGGGACGCTGCCCTCCTTATGGCTCAGAACTAGGGCGTCCCACCTCTCATAGCGCAGCCTCCGGAGTTCCTCCAGAGGCCCGGCTCCTGACCGCCACACCACTCTCATTCCAGCTCCCATAATCCCATACCTCCTCCCATTCTCTCCGGACTCCTGTCTGCAGTCTTCCTTCCCTCTGTTCTTGATCCACTTCACCTCATTAACTCCTCTACAGAGTTCTTTCGCGCTTGTCACCAACATTAGCATGTGGCCTTGCCTTTCAGGACTTAAGTGGGACTGTCTGTAAGTCCTACTCTAGGAGAGACGATGCAGATGAGGGAGACCCGAAGTCACCATCTTTTAATTTCCCAGGATTCCTTCCGGCCTGGGTCTTCTGTTTGGTTATAAAAACTATAAATAAAGACTTACGAAAACAAAGTGTTGCAGAACGTGAAGACAGGCTAGGGAAACGATCCCATTACTACATCACCTACAGAGTCCAGTTGTCCTGGTGTGCCATGGATTAGAAGTTCTGTTGAACTTAGAAGTTTTGTTGAACACACACGCATGCCAATACTTGTTAAAGATAACTGGGAGGAAACAACATTTTGGAGAGTCTGTAAGACTACTAGAGACATCTTGTACAATTTGATTCTAAGAGAGGAAATCATTGGTTTTCCTTCTCAATAACCGATGGAGGTAGCTGAACCACTAAATATAATGAGAGAATGGAGCCTGTGGGAAACTGCGCCTCTTTAATGGGATGGAGGGATAGCAATCTCTCCCAGAATCTAGAGAAAGTCCACCATTCTAAGCTGTGGTAAAATTAACAATAATTAACAAACTATAATTATTCTCAGATCCACCTTCAAAACACATTTTATATATCAGCATTTAATGTATGCCAGTAGTATACTGTGCAAGGGTGTTGTTTGACTACTGGAAGCCAGCCAGGCCTCTGCACCATTAATTTTCAAGCAATTCCCGAGGCAGACAGACTCAAACATATTATTTTGTCTTTATAGGCAGAGGAAGTATAGACATGTGGGACAAATTCTTACCCAGTAGCACCAGGGACACGCCTCTGATTTCCACCCCCACCATCTCTTTAGGTCTATTGAACAACTAGCCTAACCTGTCCAATCTCCATCCTGCCACAGAGAAAGCCCTAAAGCACAAATCTGTGTACATTTTCTCTGTTGAGAATACTTTCCCCCCCACCCCCCTGTGTGTAGACAGGGGAAGAGAGAGACATCTAGACTCTAAGGGTGAAACTCAAGTTTTATTAGTTAGTGCACAGTGTCAGCTGCTGTTATTTGCCATCATTGTATCCCTGCCATCTCCCCAGACTTTTGCATGCTCTGAAACCTTTGCAGAGTCATGTACCTGGATTCTCCTCTTCTCTAATTGGCTCTAGTATACAACTGTGATTTTCTACTCAATCATTGTTTACTTTCTGAAGGGAAAAATGCCTCTTTTCTGTACTCCCTTATCTTTTCATCCTAAGATTAACAAAAACTACCCTTCCTGGGTTTCCATTGCCCATCTGTAAAATTGGTATATCAGAGGCCCCGTTCTTAGGTTATTTATTCTGATACTCAAACTGAACAGACGAGATGGTAAATGGTAAAGCTTTGTAACTCCAAGACAATGTATATTCCAGTGAAAACTGAGCTTGTCTCCTCACCTTTTCCAGTGGTTGTATGAGTGATCATCATCTACTAAAACTGGCAAAAACACCTGGTTTCCTTTATCTTTTCTTTTAAAAGTTTATTTATTTTTATTTTTTCGAGACAGGGTTTCTGTGTATAGACCTGGCTGCCCTGGGATTTATTCTGTGTGCAACCCAGGCTGGCCTTGAACTCAAGAGATCTGCCTGCTTCTGCCTCTCCCTCCCTCACACCCTCAAATGTTGGGCTTAAAGGTGTACTCCACCTGGCTTTCATTCCCGGGAGTCCCAGGCCAGTTGGAGGAAAGCTAGTGAGGAAGGGCTTTCAAGGCCCTGGAACACAGGTGATGATGTGTTGACTAATTAGTTAGCTCAGCCAAGAATAGGATTTTGTGAGGTTCTGGGAGGAGTGGAGGAGTAGGCATGCCAGACTGTTATCCTCTTTGGGAAGATGGAGTGAACAAAGATGACCTCCAGATCCCTTGGCTTCCTTCTTTAATATCTGCTTCTTCCCAGCTTTCCTCAGCAGGCACACGCCCACCCAGATCTAATTCTCCCCTCCTCTAATTAAAAGCAAAATCATGTAGTAGCTTAATTTCTTTGTATTTTAATTGTAATTTAGAAGTACTCAACAAAAGCTTTCCAGCATTTTGGGACTGTCAAGTGCTTACAAGGGGCAAGAACCACATCAGTATCCTGTGATCCTGGCACATGAGTATAAGGAGGCACTAAGTAATGTGCGTTGGGTTAATTAACAGTGGCTTTTGCACAGAACGTCCCAACATTGATATGCTTCCTCCAAATGTATATATGAACCATTTCAATGTTTGTGACGTGGGACAAGTGATATCATCATCACCTGTGACATTCTGGATTACCATTCCTACCTTAGCCCACCTTCCAGATGCCTAGTTTTATGGGAGATTAGAATGAATTGCATTTACAAATTTTTTTATTAGCCTTATACCTGTAGGGAGGAGGGATATGTTCTGATGAAGGGTTAGCTTTGGGGATTAGGGTCAGAGTTTAGGTTTCGGTTTGTGTTGGGTTAGGATTAGGGTTTGGTTATGACTCGTTTGGATTGAGTTATCTTTAGTGTTGGGGTTAGAGTTTCTGTTTGGTGGTTAAGGTATGGGTTAGGATTAAATATGGTGGTTAGAGTTCAGGTTAGTGTTACAGTTAGCTTAGGGGTTATATTTAGGGTTGGTATAAGGGTTTAGGGATAAAATTAAGAGTTAGAATGAAGCTTAACGTTAGGATAAGATGGTTACTGTTGATTTACAGTTCCCTTTAGTGTTATAGTTAGAAGGTTAGAGTTAGGCTTCCTTTTTTGTTTAGTATTATTAGGTTAATTGTAGATTAGGGGTAGGAATAGGGAAAGGGTTGGGTTTATGGTGAAAGTTTGAGTTTTGAGGTTTGGTTTAGGGGGTTTGTTTTTAGTGTTTACTGTCTGGGTTTGATTAGTTTTTGGTTAGGCTATAATTGGGGTTAGCATTAGAGTCCAGATCAGGTTAGGATCAAAGCTGGCTTAGGGTTAGGTTTAAGTTTAGGGAGTTAGGGTTAGAAATAGTGTTCGGAGTTTTTGTATGACTATTGTAAGTGGTTGGCACTGGGATTATGTTTAGTTTAGATTTAGTGTTGGTGTCAGGTTATAGTTAACATTTGGGGTTAGTCTTGGAGTGTTAGGGTAGGGCAAACTCTATGGTTAATATTAAACATATAAGTAAGTGTTAGGTATAGGTTTATGGTTAGGGTCAGATTTCATATAGGGTTAGCATTTCCTCTAACTAGATATAGGGTATAAGGTGTTATTGTAAAGGACAGTGGTTAGGGGTAGAGTTTCTGGTTGCTGATTTATTTAGGGCTAGTGTTTGAACTAGGGTTAAATTTACTGTGAAAGCTAAGATTTGGTTTTCATGTCAATTTAGGTGGAACATTAGTTATAGACTTAGAGTAAGTTCAGAGCTATGGTAAGTATTGGGGTAGATGTAAACTTACAGAGCTATGTATGTGTTTAATTTTGGCTTGGAATTGTGGTTAGAGTCAGAGCTAATTTTAGGCTCAGGATTTAGGGAGTTTAGTGTAGAGTTAGTGTTGAAATTGCTTTATGGTTAGTTTTAGACTTAGTTTTTGGTTCAAGTTGAACTAGAGTTAGGTTTAGGGGTTTTGTTATGGTCAGATTAGGATTATTGTATGGTTATGCTTAGGGATATAATTAGTATTAGGGTTAGACAGGGTTAGTCTGGGGCTAGGATAGGGTTAGGGTTAGGACTATGGTTAGTATTATGGGTTTATTTCTTTTCTTTCTTTCTTTTTAACTGGCTGCATTCCAACAGAAGGGGTTTATTTCTAAGATTTTTTAGAGTTGCAGGTATTGTTTGGATTATGGTCACACCTGGGTTAGTGTTAGAACTCGGGACTGTTTGTTTTAGTGGTATTTATAAGATTATTGGTAGAGTTGGAGGCAGGCGTAGAATTAAGATCAGTGATATGTTATCATTAGGATTAGTATTTGTCCTGTGGTTAGAGTTAGAACTAATTTTAGGTTTATGATTTAGATTGCTAGGAGAGCCATTGTTAGGATTATCGTTAGGGATAGATAGGTTAGGGCTTGCTGTAAAGTTTGTAAAAGCTACAGGTCTTGTTATAACAAGAGTTTATGATTACCTTTTAAACCCATTTTTAGGCATTTTGCTTGAGGTAGTACTCCAGTTCTGTTTAGGGCAAAGTATATGCTTAGGGCAAGAGTTTGGGTTTTTTTGAAGGCTCAGGTGAGTGCAAGGATTTGGGTTAGTATTCCGGTTATGTCTAGGGTAGAGCTAGTTTTAGGTTTGTGGTTAGGTCTAGGGCTGTAGCTTAGGTTAGAAATAAGGTTGAGGCTTGGGTAGAAATAGTGTTAGGTTTAAGGTATGGCTAGGTTAGAAATAGGTTGGGGCTAGTGTTAGAATTAGGGCTATTCTTAGGGGTTGTCTTAGGTTAAAACTAGGGTTAGAGCCAGTATTTGGATTAGGTGTAAAACTGTTTAGTTTGAGGAATAAGGTTAGTGGTAGGTTTATGGCTTTGTTTAGATAATGTTATGGTTAGTGTTTGATTTAATGTTTTGCTTAGGTTAGATGTAGGGTG